TCATCATCATCATCATCATCATCATCATCATCATCATCATCATCATCTTTCTTTTTTTGGCGGGGGGAATCTTGTTCTATTACATGATAACTGATAAAGCATGTTTATACAGTTTGGTTGTAATTATGTAACTTGTTTGGTCCTCCAAGCAGTGTTGATATTGACATGAACCCACCACGATACTGGCCTTTGCTGCAACTCGGACAATCATCATCCTTAGCCAGATGGTTGAAATCTAGGAATCTAGGCTCATGTGGCCACCAACATCGCCCAACTGGGAGATGAGAGTTCTCTATTTTTAACGCTCTCTCTCTCTCTCTGTCTCTCTCTCTCTCTCTCTCTCGTTTTCTCTCTTTTCGCACGCCAAAGCCCGGGCAGATCACGGCAGCTGCGGTGGCGCGGAGGTTGACTCAGCTGCGGGTGAACCCCAAAGTGGTGAGCCCGCGGCAGCTGAGTTGGGACACTTGGCCAAGAGGAGTCGGCGGTCAGCTGCGCTGTGGGCACGAAGTCAGTCAGTCAGTCAGTCAGTCAGCCACCCCCAAAAAACGTGATGCCGGGGAGAGAAATAATAAACCAAAAGTGGACCGTAACACACCACAATTTAAATAAACTAGCTCAGTGGACCATAATAACACCAGTTTCAAGTTTCAACAAAAGTTTCAACACATGTCTAGTGGCGTGGCAGGTATTTCGTTTCTTTCGCACATTTCTTCCCAGTGACTAATGATTGACTAATGGATCTTTAAGTGGGCCTGCCGGACTGTGTTTTCGTCTCATGTTCAGTCAGGAAATCCATTGTATTCGTATATGTATTAATGATACAATGAGAGACCCTCGGCCAACAGCCAGTGGTGGAGCAGATTTAGAGAGAAGAAGAAACAACCTTATCACGTACGCAGAAGTATTTCTAGGAAGCTTCCATGTCCTTAGTGAGAGACGCCCCTAAAATCATGTTCGGTTCTAGGCCTTCTTCGGGGAAGACACGAGTGTCTTCTCAGGACTTGTCTGGTTTGGAGGTGGCTCCAGTCACCTACACCTTCAAGGCAAGGCGGGTTTGTGGTCAGCCGCCCCGATTCAGGTTCCTCTCTCGCAAAAAGACCGTGCACTCGTAAGTCGGGCTTGTGTTGCTGACCCCCCGACTGACCCTGCGTGAAACGAGAGGACATCTCCCCAAGCACGCCATGGGGCGGGAACATTGGATCTACATTGGGGGTTGGTTCGAGGGATCATGAGGGATCCATGTAAATAAAGATCTAGATGGTATATGTGTAATTATATGCATTGATAATTTATATGTGTATCCATCCTGCAACCTGAAACGACCACTTTTTGGTTGTTTCTTCAAACGACCATATATTTTTAAGACGACAAAAAAAGGGGTTTTTTCTTAAACGACCGTATTTTTGTCAATTATGATGTTCATATATTATAAATCAGTCACTATGCATGTCAAGTATTTGTGAAATCGTATACGATCGTATACGACCATAAATTTCTGGAAACGACCGTATATTTTTCGAACCACGGCCGTATTTTGTTGAAACGACCGTATATTCTTCGAAATACGACCGTATACGGGCCGTATGCAAACCGTATAAAAACGTATACGACCAAATTTTTCATGTCTAAAATGACTGCAAGATAAAACGACCGTATTTTTTTTGGAAACGACCAAAAACAATGGTTGTTTTCAAAACCCAAAAATGTGGTCGTTTCGGGTTGCAGGATGTAATTATAACGAAATAAACACATATACTCCATGTGCCGGGGCATGTGTGTGTGGCACCTGCTTACGCAGAAATCGAAGATTTCACGACAAAGTTCATCGAAGCAGTGTGTCTTTGGCTTCCTAGGTGGTGAAAACTCATTACTGCAAGCAGCTAAGAAGAAGTATTGAAAACTATCTGAAAAAAACGAGCTTGCTTATAATCGTGAACCTGATAGGGTGAGCAACGCAATGCTGGACATGTGTTGAATTGTGTTGATGATTGTTACTTTTCCTGGATTCCCACCCAGCAGTGATTCTTAAGAGGTCAGTTGAAGAGTCAGTTGGTTTTGAACATGTTTTTAAGTTGTGCAATGCTCTTGGCCTCTTAGAAAATCTGCTTGGTGCTGTTTGGATGATTGGACTTGGCTGCAGCAGGGTCCTCCCGACTCGGCCCCCTTTCTTCACTCACCACCCCTCGCCCGCTTCCTCGGATTGGTTTCTCGGGGTGTCACAACGAATGCGCAGGTGCCCTTCGAAGTGGAGGTCCAGCAGGTGCCGTTCGAGGCCGCTGCCGACTTTGTCCTGGAAATGATGCTTGGCTTTGAGCGGGGCCCGGGTCCTCCCTTCGGAGCCGGTGCCTTCTTCGTCTTGGAGGGCCGAGGGGAAGGGGGTGCGAGTCTTGTGATCAACGATCCACGGGATGAAACAAGGCTTTTGGAGCTGCTGGCTTGTTGGCTTCGGTAGAGAAGTTGGTTTCTTCGGTCCTCATGCTGTTGAGTTGGAAGTGGAGTTGGATCCTAAGTGCCTAAGTGCACATCACACTCCTAAGACTGAACACTTTCACTGGCTTAGGATGCATCCATTTGTGCCTTAGATCGGCCTTTCGGAGTGAACTATGCCCGCGGCTTCCGCTAAACAGCCAGGACCAACAGGTCCAGTAGCGAATCGGTTCACCTGTTGCAATCCTTGGGTGTAGGTTTTATGAGGGTTGAAGGGGGGATGAAGGGATGGGATCCTCATAGGATTTGATCTACTTGTGGACCTTGTGGGATCCTCATAGAGTTTTGATCCAGGCAGTGTTGCAGTTTCCTTTGGTCCCGCCCTGGAGATCCTCCACTTTCAGCGATGGTGAGTCACTGAAACGCCAAAAAGCTTGGCGCGAAAGTGCTTGGGCCCGGGGACGTCTGTGCAATCCCGATGAACACAATCTGGCACGAGAGTTGTTTTTCGTCTCCTTGTCACTAACGGAGTGACATCAACTGCCTACATCAAAGAGCCGTTGAGCTCTGAGCGAACGGCGGCACGTGGCACCTGTGACCCCGGTCTCCCAGCGTCGCCGTTCGGACGGACCCCAACAAGGACCGTGGCTTCGGAACCATGACGAGGACGCCCCCCCAAGAAAGGGGACTATAGGATGGACTCCAGGTGACTTGGTCCAAAACGGAGGATCCAAAGATCCTTTTCTGCTGTGAATCCTCCACCTGAAGCCGCACCAAGACCAAAGCGCGCCTCCTCGCGGTAACTTCCGGGTCCGCGCGGAGCCGCTCCGCTGCCCCCCCCAGGAGCGGCGGCGGCGGCCTGGCGGGCGCGAAGCGCTTCGCGGCGCCCATTCTCAGGAGCTTGGTGGGCGCCTCGATGAGGCCTGGAGTAGGGGTGGGGTTTTCAGGTGCCTTTTTCTATGGAAAGGGGATTGGAAGGAGTGCAAGGTAAGACCGGGGAGGTTTAGTAAAAGCACGTGTTCTGGGTGGAAGTAGAAGTGGTGGAGTGATTTCTGCTCCTTTCCTGTTGATCTGGCAGTGGCATGAAATATAGAGAGGGAGGAAGGGCAGGGGAGAGAGAGGGAGAGAGACAGAGAAAAAGAACGACTACATAGTCCAGTTGCCTAGTTGGTAAGAAGTAGATTCGCTTCGCTGACACACTGCGACCTGGAAGGCTTTGAATGTCACCAGGGACGATGGCTCAAGAAGAATTCGGTGCATTGTGGCACCGAGCACCACATTGTGTCGAACCGTTCTGATAGTGACTCATGGTGACACACTTGTCCACATCCACATGGCAAGAGCCCCTTTGATGAGGAATCTTTTGGACGGACGGCCAGGGGGAAGCATCATGGGGGGCCATGAGCCCCTCTCACAGGAAATTTGAGTGTGCTCACTAGTGGGTGTGAGAGCCCAGAGACCATGGATTCCATCCCTCAGTCCGTCCCTCCCTCCGTCTTACCTACCTGCCTAACCTAACCTAACCTAACCTAACCCAACCCAACCCAACCCAACCCAACCCAACCCAACCCAACCCAACCCAACCTACCAACCAACCTACCTCCCTACCTACCAGTGACTATATAATTGGACATGGAACAGTCTTGAGCACCTTCTAGAGGTCTAGGACGGATGCGCCTTCATAGAATGCCGCATGGAGTGTTGGATCCCCCCTCCACAAGACGACGCACATTGAACCAATGTCCTTTGCCCGCTGCGGATGAGCCAAGAGTTGGTTGGAGCATGTCAGAGCCAGGGTTTGAGATGTGGTTTTGTGGTGCGCAGTTGCACAGTGATTTGGGATGTAGGGGAAGAACATCAGTTGATGAAACTGGCAGCTCCGGAATCAACTGAACATGCGAATGCGAAGGATTTCTGTTGAACTCGTGTTGAGTCCGAGCTACTGAGCCATTGAAAAGATGAGCTATTGAGCCATGTGGGTGACACTCCTGAACACTCACATTGACGCGGCCACATTGACGCGGCGACCCGCGTGGCAACCCTGAGTCCGAAAACCGTTCTCCTCGACTCCCACCGACGTGGGTTTTCAGGGTCCATGGGATCGTCGAGGTGCCCAGCAGGCCCAGCAGTGCTCGGCACCTGCCGTGTGCAGGTGCAACTCTCAACACGTGGGCGCTTTCACAGAGCTGCGCTTTCACATTCCGCTGGGCGCACCTCTGCCGAAGGTGCAGGGCACCTCTTCGGGAAGGGAGAGCCGGAACGTGTTTTTTTCCCCTTAAGCGGATCGAGTTGCAAATTTTTTGGGAAGCCAGGCGAATGAATGAGCTCCTGAGGAAGGTAGGGTGAGGATTAGATTAGATGGGACTTTGCGAGGGCATCGTTAACATTCGATGCTCCTCATGGAAGCAAGACACAGACAGATACATATTGGTTCTGTCCTATTGCCTGTAACAGCCGGTAAACCGGAAACTTAAAAAAACTTTACCATACTTTACCTGTATCATACTAGGACCAACTCTGCCTGTCTCATGCGCGAACGCAGTGCTGATGCAAAAATTCTCAAACCGTGGTAGGGCAAAACACCCGCATAACCATATATACATATACACAATTATACATACATAGACATCTCAGCATCACGAGGATTCTCAGCAACTCTCCGTAGTCTCCCAGTTTGATGTTCTTGAACACCATGACGGCTTTCCTGTCAAGTCGCTGGCAAATCGTTTCGAGAAATCGCGCACATGTGCGGCCAAAAATTACCGAGCGGGCACGAGTTGGTGCCTGGTGCCTGGTGCCTGGTGCGAACTCAGCTCCTAAGCCTTTTTGTGGCACGTCCTGTGGAGCATGCAGAGGTGAACCCCTCGCGGGGGTGATTGAATCAGCCCTCGCCGCGGCAGGAGAGCATGTTGCTCCTCCAGGCAGATGTGTCCACTCCAGGACTCACCCTTCATTGCCCCATGCAGGCGGGGTCTCGACCCCCGTTTGGGGAGACGGACTTGTCCTCAGCGGTTTACCATGGTTTACCGTGGTTTACCTCCAAGCACAGCAGCAAGACATTTGCATGGCTTTGTGGCTTTGAACTTCAGCCACCGGCTCTGGCTGGGTCTAGTTATAGTTTGCTTTGTTCTTACTCTCTCCACTTTGCGCACAGCTCCCAACGCTCCTCGAGAGGCCCTTCTCTTTTGGGGGGTGCTGGAGGGTTGGTTTGTTCTTGCCAAAAAGTGGTGATGAGCTTCCAAACAGCTGTCCAAACACCTGTTGTGATGATGAAAACAACAGTTGTTTGGTTTGTTTACTTTGGTGACGAACACTTCCAAACACCTGTCCACGGTCGGCCGCTCAAGGCGGAAGAGGCGCCTGGCTGGGTCCCTGACAGCGTGGCCTGCCACTGGGGACGAAGCAGCGGCTGAGTACGGAGGGACAAGCAGGGTGTGGTAGGAGGGAGGGCAGACGTGCAGATAAGATATGACAAGATCTTCAGTAAGATTCCAGATACCTTCCCAAACTGGAAGATATTGGGAAAACATACTGTATTTGATTTTCCTCCTTTGCCGATTGAGTTCACTTCACATTTGCGCTGAAGAGCCCCTTGAGATCAAGGATCAATGTATCACATGCGCATCCTGCCACTCGCCAGGATTCCAGCCTGCCTTGTTTTGGCACATCTTTCAAACGTTTTGTTTGCATCTGGCTAACCTAAGAATTGGTTCAACCTTGTTTTGCAACCCTGATGGAACAAGAACATATATTACAGAGCCTCGAAAGACATATCTGACATATCCAAGGTTCACTCGTATTTGGTCAACTCAGGCTCTCGTTCAGACAACCCAGGCCAAGGATGGCCAGAGATTCTTTTGTTTGGAACTATCAAGTCCCTCCCTTCCGACTCCAGGCATGCTTCCAATCATGGTCCATCCAATGCTCTCAAACGCGTCGAAGCCTATCCAAGAGGAGTCAGGAGCTTCCCAGATCGATCAAGGAGGGCGGATCTCGATGGATCATGACTCAGGCGCCATCGTCTCCGTTTCAGCATCGTTCGCCTGGCAGCTGACGTCCAGCGTTGGCTGGGCTGCCGGGTGTGGAAGCCCAGAGACGTGGAAGACGTGGGAGGGAGGGCAGGCAGGCAGGCAGATGGCCTGAAGGATGCTCCGTCCGAGGGGCGAAATCCGGATGTACAGTGGTTTCAGAGGTTCGATGGCGCAAACTTGCAAACCCAAAGATGTTTTTATACAGGGTCCAGTACAGGGTAAATATAAACCACCTCTTGGATCTCTTGGGGCATTGTGCCATCTACTCTGAAACCACTGTACATGAGATGCGCCCGGCCCTTCCGAACGAGCTCCTATCCACTCCGCTAGGTTCTATGTGCTGCGGGGCCAAGCATCCCACGTGGCGGGAATCAGTTGGACCATCTCCAGTTACAGCCCTGAAGGACGGAGGGCCAGTGACGCTGGGGCCAAGCTGTGCAGTTCGACTCAAGTGCCCGTTTCCACGGGACATCTTGGAAGTGTGGACTTTTGCAGACGAATTACACAAACATTCTTTGGACACTATATGCTGCTTTCTTCGATGTTGCTGATCTAGATGTCTCATCACCCCATTGCCATTCGAGCAGTTAGGCAAGAATGTTCATAACTCGCCTTCATGAATTTTCAAGAGCGGCTGATCAGTTGAGCCAACTACCCTCCTCAGATGTCAGTTCAGAAGTCCAATTTGAACCATGACTTCGGTGTTCGTCTCGATTGCCACCTCAGTCCCATGATCTCCATGGTGGCCATTGGAAGACCTCCAAAACGTCCGTCCGGTGAGTCGGTGAGTCGCACCCGGACGGCCGATGATCCCTCCAGGGTCTGGTGGACTGGTCGCCAGGAGATCCCTTGGATGCGCCGGGCACAGCGGGATGCCCGCAGAGCCACTGGGCCTGGCGACCGACTGGGCTGGAAGAGTTGGACTAACCGAAGGTTGGGCGCAACCGAAGGTTGGGGGCACGGTGAGGGGGGAGGTTTCATGAAACCTACAGAAGATTGCAGTCATATGTTGTAATCAGGTTGTGCCATGCTTGACCCCGAATGATGAGAATGCCTCTTGCCGAATTCATGCCGACTAAAGATCTTACTATCTAGTAATAACTATATGTTTATAGTTTTAATTACGTGTTGAGATTCGAGATTTTTGGGCCAACCCGTTGCAGAAAAAGAGGATGCCCTGGAGGCTTCCCGGCTGGAGGCTTCCGGGTTCCCAGTGGTGGAGGTCGGAGATGTCGAAGGTGTTTCCCAGTGGCGGAACTTCCAGCATCTTCCCGACTGGCCGGATGCTGGACATGCCATTTCTGAACATGATTATACAGACTGGACATGACATGCCTTGTACCACCTGCGGCAAAGATGCATGAATCCCTAAGGCTCCGGCTGAGACCTTTCACCTCAGGGTGGCATGCATGGTCTCTGAGGTGAACTTTTGCCGTCCTCCTTGGATTTCTCCACGGCGAGCCACAAGCCCCGACAGCCCACAGAGGCGTGGATCCAGGGACCGGTTCGTTCTGGCGCCGCCCGAAAAGCGCCACCCGCCCGAACGGCAGTGGGTTCAATTCACGGCGGGACAGAACAGGACACCAGAAATTCCAAGTTTTTGTTGGGTCAAGATATGCGAAGACCTTCTCAGTAATTCTTGACGGTGACGGCTGACGTTGATTTCTGCACCCCGCCACCAGAACAGCAAAACATCTCGATATGGAGGGTTAATGTGAGTTCATGGCGGTTTTATTCATCAATTCAATATGATGTCATTTCATTATACAGACCTCCCCAAGAGATATATAAGTAGATCCCCACCAAAAAGGACACTGGACACTGTTTCTATCTATTTGGGGATCACTATAACCAGCTCCAAAGATGTTCGATCCTTCTACGCCTTTACTCCTTTTATGCGGCTTTGGACTCTGAACAGAATCGCGCCTTTTCCCCACAGCTGTGAAGGGGGAAGACTTCGGGGCTTGGTGGATGCGTGTTTTGAACATGGGTTTTCAGTATAGAAGTCTGCTGAATTCTTTCGCTCCCTTCTCTTCAAACTTACAAAGGGAAGCAGGGCCTTTGGTTGGAGTTTGTTTCCTCTCGGGGGGAGGGGCCTCCACAATGTCCTCCATCTTTCTGACTCGCCCGGATTGCCATGTATGACTTTAGGGGTGCCATATGCCCCGCCAGGTCTTCTTCACCTTAGAGCTTCCAGAGGCAATTGCGGCTGGATCATCTCTGACCGTGCGCGCTCCAGGCGGCTATGTGCTGCGCGCAGAGGCTCAGCCCAACTGCGCGCAGAGGCTCAGAAGGTCCTGTTGAAGAGCATGAACCCCTGGGCAGAACGACAGAACGAACCCTTGGGTTCACAACTGAACCATCTCGTTCGGCTGCATGTGAATAAACAAGGTCACCAATCCAGAAGTCCAACGATGATCAAGAGTTATTTTGCCCCATTGAAATAAAGGAGGCTCCTTTTTGGGCCACCTATATAGTCATGTCATACCATGCTTTTGATGTTTTTTTGATTCATCAAGAAATCGGTCTTGGGAAGCGCCGCCAAATGCTTCAGGGGTGTGTCCTCCAAGATGTTATGGTTGTTTGAATGAACTTGACCCCCACATTTCTGAACTACACCTGGTTGCGCACATATATACATATATATATATATACATATCCTCCGATCACGCATCCCATTGATTCGTTTCCTTGTGGGAGGAGATCAGGGAGGTTCTCACAGTTGTGGTCCCAGACCACTGTGTGTTTGACATGGGTGTGGTTGGTCCTGCAACATGAATGACCGTGGGTCAGTTTCTGAAGGCATGTCCTGGAGGTTTCTCAAGGGTTTTTTTGTTGCGTCAAGAACGCCAAGAAGAACCGATGTCATGGGTTCTATGCCACACCGTCCTTCACCCTACACCTCCAAGTACCTCCTTAGAAGGTATGACTGGACCCTCCTGGCACCCACCCCAGCCCCACCGAACCTAAACGAAGGTACGACTGGAGGCCAAACGGGTCACGTGATGTGGGCTCTTCGAGACTGCCCGGGCCTGATGTTCGACCCGGAATGGGCCGGCCCTTCCGGTGGTGTCCCCAGCAGCTCCAGCGTCAGAATGAGCCAGAACTGACGTTGAAAAGGCTCCTTACCCTCGGTCCACACCACAATAGATAGACAACTTGACAACGCAAAGAGCTTGAAACAACGCAAGCACTGGCTGAAGTGGAGCTATATAGTTCCTTTGACATGTTCACATTTAGTCATGGGTTCAGCAGGTGGTTCCCATGCAAGATCACTAGAACATTTCGCGACATGTAGTGGCATAGATGCTACTAGCTTCTTCATCTTCTTCTGAGCACTGATCGGGAATAACTAGGCACTCAGGAAGTTCGTGATCTCAGAAGCACAGCTAAAATCAATGACCCAGATTCAACATGCTTTAGGTTCATCTCTTCCCTGGCACCTCCATGCGGCCCAGCCCCATCGCTGTTGCCCTGGGGCTGTCGTTGTTCTTGGCGCTGACATGTTTCTACCGCGTGGGCGTCGTTGTTTTCGCACCGCTCGACCCGGCGGACGGGGAGGCCGCGGCTGAGGCGCGGAGCGGCGCGGGAAGCGCGCAGAGAGAGGCGCGCAATGGATCGAATGTCTCCACGGTGCCGACCAAGCGGCCAATGAACTGTTTGAGCTTTCGACAAGCGCATCCCAGCCGGGCGCCTGAGAAGTTTGACCGAATCTATGGTCAGCATTCGAGTCGATGGCTGGATGCTTATGTGATCCCAGATGCACAGGTGATTTTCTGTCAGATTCACAAAGTCGGCTCCACCAAGTGGCTTCGCCTCTTGCGCTGGCTTGATGGGCAAGATTACAACATGTTTCCCCATTGGTGGTTTGGGAACCGCCCCGGGAACTTGACGACCTTGAGACACTTGGGAAGAAAACGGGCCCTGGAGATGATGTTCGACCCCAACTGGACGAAGATTGTGGCCATTCGCGACCCCCTGGATCGCTTGCGCTCCGCATATTTCAGCAAAGTGGCCAGAAGTTGGCCCCTTCCGAATGAATCTGCTGCGGTCTTTGCAAGGGAATTGAATGTAACCATTGAAGGCCTGAGGACAGTGAGTTTCGCTGATTTCCTGGTGCGGGTGGAGAATCTCATGAGGGAACATTCTTTTGCAGATCCACACTGGCGGAAACAATCTGATGCGTGTTCCCTAGGACATTTCAAGAAATGTTATGACTATGTCATGTTCATGGATCGGGACAAAAGTACGCACAAGGAGCTGGCCAACTGTGCCATGCAAGCCATGCTGAGCAAGATGAGTGAGTCCAACAAGCACCGCTTGCAGAATATCACCGAAACGGATCATACCAAGGCTGCAGAGCGTGAGCATCGAACGGATTCGACTCATGATGTTTGGGACTTTGACCTCTGCCGCCGAGCACTGCTCTTGTACACGGATGACTACAACCTCTTTCCCATTCCCCGGCCAACGTGCCACCGAGATCCTCCATACGTGAGGTGGCCAAGTTGATGTGTGATGCCCGTTTCACCGGCGGACGTCCGGACCTTCCGCCTCAGCCCAAAAACAGATGTGGCGCACCCCGCCTTGGCCTGCGGGTCCGGAGCTGGGGTCGTTTGCACATTGGTCGCGGAGTGTTTCAAGGACAGGTTTTGGATTTGGAGAAGGCTGTAACGAAGTCGCCAGATTCATGGACCATGTTGGACCCCTCAGTCAGTGAAGCACACCCCGAAGAAGATGAGGACTCCTAGCCTGGCAGCGTCGTTTTTGGAAGGAATTCCCATCTTTCAACGTCTTCTTTTGGATGTTTGGAGTGCTTCTTCGAGGCTTGTGTGGGACATGTGACGTCAACATCCCACCTGGGCCACCACAACAAAGCCACGGGTGTTCAGGTCCTCATCCTGATTATTGAGTTCCCATGCGCCCCCTGTCGCCCGAATTTTTGTTCCTTGGGTGTTCTCCACACATGCAGACGTTGAGTCGAGGACTGTTCCGTGGACCTTTTGGTGGCGAGTGGCAACCACTCCAGTGCCATTGCTGCCTCCCAGCGCTGCATGGGGGAGGCCTCCACAGCGGAAGTGCTACTTGCGGAGGCCTTTTTTCTGCTGTGGAGGTAGGCAGGTGAAGGGTGTGGGTCGACTTAACCTTCACCCAACATTGGCTGGAGGACTAGGGTTTGATAGAGATGACATTTACAGTCTACATAGTAAATCATAGTAATATATGGATGATAATAGACGATAGCTTTTCCCTTCATTATCCTCTAACTACAGACCGTAGATCGTTTATCATCATCTATCAACGTTTGTGTTGGGAGGGCATCTCAGACTGGAACAGACAAAGGGGGAGGTGCCGCACCGTATTTCCGTTTTGCGGAATGGGATCCAAACGGCTTTTCTCACACCTAGCGATTTTGGATCGTTTTGGCTTAGCAGAACCTGGTTTGGGGCTGAGTAACACACACACACATGGTGCATTGAAATGCATTGAAGCAGAAGCTGTGGTTGAGCCGCAGAAGTTGAAAGGGGCAGCCAAGTCAAATATCCTGTCCTGCTATTCTTTCTCTTCTTTCATTTGGTCGAGAAATCATCGGTTCGGTGATAGAGACAGGGAGAGACGGGGGAGAACGAGTCAGATTTCACTCCGTGCTCTTGGAGTTGAGGCAAAAGCTTCAGTTCAACCAAGATGACAGTGCCCTCCACCATTTTTGGTCCGTCCAGGGGTGAAGACCAATCACAGGCGTTGTAGAACGCAATACTTTGTTCTGAAGAGCACAGGCACCACGCGAGGCATCCGGTCGCCAGTGGTGTCGGGTGCCGTGAGCCCGGTCGCCACAACAACTGGCGTTCTTGCGTCGGAAGCAGTTTTGTTACGGCATTTGCTTCGCCCTGGAAGTGTAGGCCGGGGTCTTGTGGTAGACACACCAATTCACCCAGCGTCGACGGTAGCAAGGCCCGAGAAGGCCTGAGGAGGCACTCAAACACATGGAGCGGCATGGAACTTTTGAGCGGCTCAAATGCCAGGCCCTTGCGTCCGGGCCGCATGCCTTTGGCTTGCGGCTCACGAATCCCAGCCGTCAACCGATCCTGCGACTGGGCGCGGAGATCGCTTGGATGACGGGCACCGGTTTTGTATAGTTTGTCAGGTGTGCCCCGTATGGGCCGAACAATGAGTGGCCAGTGGATGCCAGTGGAAGGGTGGCTTGATTATCATCAAGTTTTGCATTTATCACAGGTGTCCTTGCATTTTGTACTGTGAGAGGAGGGCTCAAAGCCGGGGGACTGACCTGGATTCATGGGCGAGTGCAGATTCCCTTAGATTCCCTGCATTTCCCTGCATTTCGTGGGTTGGGAGGTCTCAAAGTGCAGAGTTGATAGAACTTTCTGACTAGTCCTTGCCCCTACCAGAATGACTGCGCAGCCAGCCTCCGACCCACGTCCCACCTCCAATCCTTGGGGCCCGTCACCAGTGCCACTGACCAAACGAGAGCCCAATATAAGCGAGCACTTAGCTCACCATATCGTGTCTCCAGGGGCCCTGGGGCCCTGTCGTATACATCTTCGTCGCTCCGCCGACCTTCGTCGGTTCGCTTCGCAGATCGGATTGGCCACCAGGCGGATCCAGGAGTTGACTCCAGTGCGAAGTAACCCGAAGTCACCCCCTCATTGATCAATACACCATGGATCTGAAACAGCAGGTTGGAGGCTTATATAGATTTACATCGATGTTTATAGTCGACCTGTTCTGGACTTGAAACGTGCCCCATTCAAGACGTCGACACCCTGGCCGTCGTTGGGCTTCAAAGCCAAAAGCCCGCACGTGTCCGGACAGGAATACGTGGGTCTTAGAGCTCAGTGAGCCCAGCGGCTTCCACCGTTGGAGCTCCCGACCCTTGGATGGGCTCCTCGGTGATGAAGAAGCGATCCTGGTTGACATGTTGAAGCCGTCCGACGGGTGAAACATGGTGGAACCGTTGAAGGCTCGAGAAGAGATCAAGACTCGAGATTAGAAAGCCGAGATGGAGGAAGATATGCCAGGCAAACAGAGACGCGCATCAAGGGGTTTTGTTGAGGGCACCTATTGGGTGTGCGGCACATGGGACGCAGAGGGGACCAACCAGAGTGCTTTGAAGCATGCATTTATTTCTGAACAGCTGCCCCGGTATTTTTCTTGTCTCTCGGACCATTGAATTGCTATGTATGGTTCGCCGGACTTGGGCAGCAATTCTTGTTCTCGTGGTACTTTTTTTTGCGTGTTTGCTTTTAGGTTCTTTTGGATTTGATTTGATCATAAAACACATCACTTGCCTGCGAGCCTCGGCGGCTCGTTTTCCCTGTTTCTTCCAAGCCTGGCCTGTGCTTCGGTCGCCCATTCGTCTCTTGGCCGCTTCCGCTTCGTGTCAGGTACCCCTTGGCAGAAATCCAATTCCCTCGACCGCTGGACGCCGTGAATACTGCACTGAACACCGGTGGAATGGCAGACGCGGCGCCGGTGGGGATTTTCTTCGAGTCTTGCCTGTGAATGGCACAGCGCTAGGGGTTCACGTTGGGGAGACTGCAAAAGTAGGTGGAGCATAGTGAAGCAGTTGACCGTTCGAACAGGGAGATTCAGTTTGGTGAGTGCGGTTGGGAGTTGACAAGGAGTGTGGGTGTGAGGTGAGTGGGAGGAGATACCAACAAACCCTATAACATCCATAACCAATTTAATGGTTGGGGGGGTGTACATATATACTGTATATAATGTATATATATATATATAATAGGAGATTTTGAAGTGGAGAAATGGTGAGATGGTGCGCTTTGTATAGCAATGGGTTGTAAGAAATGCGATGAGACACATCAGATTGTTTCAAGCAAACTGCCCCAGTAGCTGATGTCTCAACCCCTAAAGCGGGACAGGTGACTTGGGGGTGCCTGTGAACCCATGGGGTGCACCCCGACAGTGCACTGCACACACATAATTACATTAGACAATCATAAGCATTATGCTTGGTATCACAGACCATCGCATCTTTGCAAGCTTTGTTTGGTGACTTCTCAATGATTTGCAGTTCCCCTTGTCAAATTGGTAGTTCAACATAGTTTGACCTTTTTGGACTTCGTGCCACATATTATTCCGAAACCAGCCCTTTGTCCCTTAGCTTGGCCTGCGAACACCATGTCGGCGATGGTCAGTGCCGTGCTCTCGACGCTCTGCGTGGATGTGAGGTCCTCCAGACGCCCGCCCATGCGCTGCGCATCATGGCGCCCGCGCAGCACCAGTTGGGCTCGCTGCTGTCCCTGAAGAGCACCACCCACATGTTCACCACCTCTGTGGAGGCACCGGGCCCAACCGGGCCGAGGTGGACCACGTCAACTGCACACTAGGTGGTGTCGGCTGAAGTGTCGTCGACGGCCGCCGTCGCGGCGTCAGGTGTTTGGACATACCGCAGACGTGAAGATTGCCACAGGTCTTGAGCCCGGCCTCACCTATAGCAGCCTGGCCGCAAACACGGGAGAAGCAACCAGCACTCGGCGAACACGTGACGAAACGCCAAGCCAAGCCAACCAAGGGCTACTTGTCAGCGGCATAGAATGCGGGAAAGAGTTGAAGCATGAGTCAAAATGAGCTCATTTGATAGTTGCACACCCGGCGGCGCCGGTGGCATGTTGTAGGCATTTCCGGAATTCTGGAGCATATGCCAGAGATTGCCAGAGTAATTAAAGGATATTAAAGGATATTATAGCACACGTAAGACGGCTTGTGTCCTCATGGCTTAAAGAAGGAGTTCCCCAACACTAACACCCTTTTTCTATTTTTTTCTGCTTTGGGGCGGCCAGTCTGTGCAGCGAGGTCTCTACATTCTGACCTCCAATCCCACTGCACAGGTGGGTGGTGCCACCTGGTCGCTTGGGTCGCAGAGAGGGCAGTTTCATCCGAAGGAGATGATGAGGGCAGTGGTTAAACCAGTGGCAAGATGACCGGGAGCCCCCGCTTCTTTCTTGGGAGATCAACATTCAAAAGTGCGCCACCAAAGGTTCAAGAACTCAGGTCCCACAGTGGTCCAGGAAAGCGGCTGAACTTGATTTCCAGCCACATTCAACACCTGTGAATACTTCGAGATGGACGGATTGTGATTTCTCATGATTTCGTCTCACATTCTCTAACACCCCACGCCCAAAAACGCCCCCACGAAAGGGTGAAAGGATGAAACCATTGGACCTGGTCTTTCGTCGGTTCAGGTCACCCAGATGAACAAGAGACGACCCACACGTCGAAGCGGGGGAACACCCCAGCGAGGTCCGGTCCGGTTCGGGCCAGCGAGGTCTTTGGAGTCCTTCGGAGCGCGAAGCGAGCCCCTGGACCAGGGCGAGGTGCGCCCCTTTGAAGTGGACGGAGGGCGAGGATGGCTCGTTCGTTGGAGAGCGGCAACGAAGAAACGAGCAAAATGGAGCAAAGAACCGGAGAACCGGAGGCATGGAAAGGCACTGAACAGTGCTGAAAACCATAGACCCTTTTTGTTTTTGATCCTTTTTACGTTGCTTTCTAGATTCCAACTGCTTGGACTGTATATAAGGAACTTTTGATGGTCCCAACGAAGCCCGTCAACGGTGCGTTCTTATTCCGGTCATCATTTTTCTGATGCGAGAGGCATTCATGGTGCAATCACACCCGCGAATTCAGATGGCGGAGCCCCGACCCATCGTCGTCCAATCCTGATCCACGCGTGAGCGTCGAAAGCTGCAAGGTGGCCTCCTTCGAGTTGTTCCCTGCTGCAGACTTCCAAGTGGCTGCTGGGCAGAATTCGAGGCACTTCGAGGCGCTGGGGGGTTCTCCCATTCTCCCATGTGTGGGAGCGGGAAGAAACTGGCTTTTTGCAAGGCTTTGCCGGGTATTCCAGGAATTCTGAAGATTCCTGGAGGAATCAGCGACGTGGAAAAACAATTTCCTCACCACATTCGATGCACGACCCTGCCCTTGAGTTGAATCGTGTTTCATCGGCTTTGGTCTTCGATTTGAAATGCAATGGAATGCACGTTGCTTGCACCTTCGCGCCTGTGTGAGCCACTGTCATGCTCAGCTGCCTTCTGGCTTCGCATTCCTTCAGTTAGGCCGCCCTTCGCCCCCCTTGATATCAACCAAGGTGAACTTGGGCGAGGAATACAGCAACCAAGAGATCACCGTGCAGTTGACTTGCACCCTGCCGAGCGACCTGCACTTTGGAGACTCCTTGCTGGTCCAGGCGCCTATGGCATGTGGTGGTGCCACGCTCATCCACATGGTTTGTGGTTTGGATGGGTTCAACTTGGGCATCTGAAGCGAATGGCATGCCACCATTCCTGAGATCCTGGTTTCGGTTTGGTTGCTTCTTGCGGGCAGAAACCATTTGAAGTCATTCGACTGGTGGAGCAAGACCGAGTTTAGAGCGGTTTACGGTCAAGGATTTTTGTTCGAGAAGGGGGTTGCAAACCCTGTGCCAGAGCCTAAGGGCCCAAGGGCAGACGGTTCTAAGTTGCTAGAAGCAAGTGTGTTGCATAGAAAAGACCGGGGTCGTTGATGTTGAGATTTCCGAAAGACCCTACTGTATATATATATACTTCTCCCAAACTTTTGGCACCCTCCAATTCAGTGCCACCCGCCCCGTAGCCATATGTCCTCGCCTAGGCGCCACCAGGCTTTCCCTTGGCTGACTTCCAATGGCTGGGCCCCACGGTGTCGCTGTCAGCGGAGATTTGGTGCCATTTTGGGCCTTGCCACTGGGCTGTTGAGGACCGGTTGGGCGAAGACTTCAGTCTGGGGACGGGCGCCGAGTTGGTCGCCTCGCCTGCTCACTCACTGACAGAGCACACGCGCGCCCGCGGAGGAAACCCTTCAGACCGGAAGCGCCCGTTGGCCTGGAGAAACCTCGATGTCCGACGCGTTCCTCACATTTCCTCACCTGTTCATCCGCTGTTTGGCGAGACCGGTGACCGGGGATGCAGACTCTTCGCCCCCTCTTTCGGCTGCCCATTCCGTTCTGTGCCAGTGCATCACAGCGCCCATTCCGTTCGAACAGTGCCAATGCGGGGAGCGGTCGCGCCGAAATCAGTATATAAATCAGTATTTTCATCGCCAAGTTGCAAGATGAATGATGGTATACATATATGTATGACATGCCAGTACCAGGCTTATGCAATCTTAAGTGCAATCTTACATACACACATACATACACACAATCTAGTCCCATATGATCCTCCGTCCACTAGCCTGGCTAGGATCCCATGGGCTTGAGCCCTTTCGCTAGTTGAGCCATATTGAGGAGATACAAGTACCCTAGATCAGGACCTTGTATATAAACTACTCAGGTGTTGGCTACCTATTATTTTAGCCAGGCCATGCAATGGATTTTAGCCATAGTGTATTTTGGGCACATCGTGTTGACAAAGTGGTCATGTTCAAATGCTTGTCATTGCTTTAGGTAGGCAGCAGGGGTATTCTTCTTGTTTGGATTGTGTGGAAATGTGACAAGGATGTAGGTTAAAGGTGATGTCCAAGACCTTCAAGATGTTCAAGAGCTACACATCTCCAAACTCCAGGTGGGAGGATTTACTGTAAGCCTTTGTGGTCAAGTCTTGCCAGGGTGTCACCAGACACCGTTTGTCACATGTCAATTTGGTTGGGTGCCTATATTTTTAGCTGTTGGTGGCTAAAATTTTTTTGCCAAAAAAAGAGGTTGGGCCCATGGTCGTTTAGCCACGGGTCCCTGTGTGCAACACATGGGGTTGGGTCCAAAACTTTTATGTGAAGATTGGTCAAATCAGGGCTTGACAACCTTCATGAACAACAAGAACATGTTGAATTCCTCTTTCTCGATCCGGAATAGCACGCCAATCAACCAACATCCAGCGTGCATACAAACTGAGCGCCAACATGGAGGAACATTATGACAAGTCTCCCCAAGTTAGAGTTGACCTGGAGAAACGTCGCACCCCCCATTGCAGTGGTTTCAGAGTAGATGGCGCAAGCCCAAGAAGATTGTTTTGCTGGGTCCATATTAACCACCATTTGTGCCTGTGCCATCTACTCTGAAACCACTGTAAGACTGGTGAACCGTATCAGATTTCTACGCCCACATGGGGAAAAGCAGTTCGGCCGGAAAAGACCCAAACGATTCAGCCAACTGTCAACTTAATGTCTGCAAATCTCCCATCAATGGTGACCCCGCACCAAAAAAAACAGAAGGTGACGGAAATGCCAAGTGGTTGAGCCCAGAGCTTCCCATGTCGTCCCCTGTTTTCATTTATGGTTCAGAAGACCATGGTGCTACCGCGGTCCTAGGGTGATCGCGTTGTCCACTCCAAGGCATTTTGTCTGTGGCCTTCCTCAGCACTTGGCAGGGTGCAGCTGGCGTCGCGTTCGCGGCAGCGGAGCCCATGCGCTTCACCGTGCGCGCGCGGAACCCCGCCAGATGCTGGGCTGCAGGGGCGGTGGTTGTGGTGTTGGTAGGGGACAAACACAAATGCATAATATAATATGTAAGAGTTGCAGGGCATCCTGGAGGTCCCATGGGGTTGGTGCTTGTGCTTGATGACCAATGAGCTAGGATCAACCTGGTTGTTCATTGGCTGGTGCTCACTGGGGGTATAGGATGGGGGTTTGACTGCCAGCGCTCCGCTAGTCAAAGAAGCAATCCTGAAAGTGAATCTCCAACCCCGCTCAAAGCACGGCTGAGGTGCTGCATATAGCATTCCAAGAACAGACAACCGTGGATGACCACTGATCCAGCATGATCCAGCAGCTTAAGCCACGGTCCTTCCCCCATGTTGTTCCTCATCGGACAAAGTGTACGCCATCCAGGGTCGTAACCTGCACTCTCCCGGACAGCCATTCAACGCGTTCTGTTTCCATGCCAGCCATTCAAATTGCATCAAATTGCAGATCTATGTGTTTTCCAGTTTGAGTGGATGCTTGGCCCAAGCCTTATGGCGACGGTGTCCTGTGTCCTCCCCTTCACTCCTCCGCGCCAGTCGCCGCGGCCGAAACGGAACCCAACGCTTCAACCGGCCCGGCCACCGGAGGCGCGCTGGAGCCTGAGAGTGCTTGGTGGCGCATGGACCAGCGCCGCGGCGGCGCGCGCCGGGCCACGGCCGTGGCGGCCAGACACTTGGGCTGGACGATGGATGGACGCCAGCGGCTCTGGCGTGCGCTGTCGCGCGTTCGCGAGATGGGGAGATCCCCGGTCTCACCCACTTGGTAGGCGACCTTCCGTCCCAAGTGAGTGCGTCCTGGTCTCGCAGTTGAACAGCCCGATGAGCTGTGTGGATCGTTGGGGCCGGGTGGGGCATGTGGGTAGGCGCATGCGGGGGTGGTTTGGCATGAGATGGATACAGGGAGGAGTTCTAAGTTCTAAGGGGTTGATTCTTGGATCAGCCAGTGAGTGGATAACTCTAGTGGATGCACCTCCACCCTCCAGGAGCAAGTCATTACATGCCTTTGTGTCATGTTGAGCTAGAGGGGCACAGCACAGAGTGTCCTTCAAGACTTGTTTGAAGAACTGTGACATGGCGGACCGCCGCTTCGTGCAAAGCAAGAGCATGCAAAGCGGAAAGGAGAGCAAGAAGAAAGGAAACACAATCACGATCCACGATCACGTCAAAAGTACACAGTGGAGACAACCCACATTGACATGACGTCCCTCCCGTTTCTTCCCAGTTCGCCCACTCGCCTGGCCTTCGCCTCTCCCAGGCTGGCCCATTCGCCCGGAGTTGTCCAGCGCCTCGCTGCAGCTGCTGGGTCCCTCCTTGGCAGCACTGGCGGTGGCGAGCCTGCGGCTCCGCTTTGTGCCCGCGGCCCGGCGGCGAACCCCCCGCGGTGGACGGCAGGGGGGCAGTGGGGCGGACGGCGAGGTGAACCACCGGCGTTGTCGTGGCCGGGGCTTTCAGATGCTTGGGGATGTTCAATGATGAAGGGGAAGCTTGTTGGGGGAATGTCATAGTGTGTTTGGGAAGATTGCCTTTCTTCTATTTTTTGGGAGGGGCTTTTGGGAGGGGCTTGGTCCTTCAAGAGGTTGGATCCACACGGGTGCTATTTTGTTTGCCCAAGTGGTGCCTCGCAGCGGCAGGGGGCTTATGAGATTTTATGAGTTGACGTTTTGTATCAAATGGAACTGATGCACACACACACACATAGATAAATTCACACTTGCATGTAGCTTGCGGATGCAAGTTTTATGTTCACTGAAGTTCACAAAATGTCCCACCGGGACATTTTGGCTCAAGTTGGTGGCAATCATCCAAAGGATTGCACCTGAACTTTGGAAGAAAACACTCCCCAGTACATCGGTTTTTAGTTCAACACGACGCAATGGCGCACCCGATGGAAGCGGAGTATGTCATGATTGAGTCTGTTCGTGATGCCCAACCAGACGTTGAGGATGCGGCTACGGTCAGTAGCCCGGGCATCGAGAGCTTGGACCAGGCAGCGGACGCTGCGTCTGCAGCCCTCCGTCATGCGGAGGCGGAAGGAGCGAGAGGCCTCGCCATTTTTGGACAGCCCGTTTTGGTTTCTGAGCTGGACGCTCAGGCACAGATTCGAGAGTTGGAGCGCCACCTGGAAGCACTCAAGGTCCAGATCGCGGAGCGCGAAGACGCGGACATGGGCGTGGACCTCCTGGGGTTACAGGACCCTGCTGATGGCGGCGCTGGCCACCCCCCCTCTGCTCCTGGTGCCTCTGGCCCAGCGGCGGGGGGGGGTGGCACCTGCAGCAGCTGCGGCACCGACCACGAGCCCTACTACACCATCGGCGGCTGCGGCCCAGCCTTCAATTCTGACAACCCTGGCAGAACCACCGCTGGCTTGGCCTGTAACGGTGGAGCCACGCCCAGCTGCCCCCATTGAACAGATGGAGGAGGACACCACTGAGCGCGCGGGCTTAGGTTTCACGCCCCCTGCACCGGCAGGGTACCTGCACCACCCTTTGGTGCAGAAAAATTTGCTCGAGGCATCTTTCTTAGAAATTTGTTCGTTTCAGTGTTTTCCAAAGAAATACGCTCGTTTCTTTCTTCACAGATAAAAGCGCTCGAGTTGATGTGTGCACAGTACAAAGCACACTTGACAGCCATAGATTGATAGAGGCGAGCTGGAAGAGCTCACATGAGTGGTGTGATGCCAAAGAGTGATATGCACAAGGACAAGGATGAATTCTGGGATCAAGTGGCGTATGATGCCATTAAACGGTATCAACGAGCTACATTTATGCGGCATGCAACAACTTCTTGCAGCCATCATTTTTCCGCTTCATCTCAGCCAGTGCTTCTTCGACCACAAAGCTTTGTAGTGGCACAAAGCACGTTGAATGGTGCGCAGTGCTATGCACCAAGCATGGCAACGTCGGCTCATTCTGCAAACCTCAGTCAGTTGATCATGCACAGTTCAGGCAAGACTTGTCATTCACGCACACACATAACAAAAGAAGACAAGAAACTCGTCCAATGAAGTCTTCATCAAGCCATGTTTGATAGCCTCAGTAACAGCACAGTAACACCAACCATTCAAGTAGAACTCCAAACAGTCACGGGACACACTGGTGAGAGGATCCAATCCGCCTGGCCATCAGCAAGCTGATCGCACATCCACATCCTTACAAGGAGGATGAGCCCAATCAGCCGCTTCAAAATTACTGGAACATGTTCAAGTATGCAGAGCATGTATGTATATATCTAAACAAGCATTTTCTGCTTACACAGCACAGACAAAGCTGCCAGTAGCCCCGAGCTCACACTGTACCGCCGACATATTCGCATATTCAGGGTCCCGGCTCTAGCTAGAATATAGCGCAAAGTGACTCCATCGCCATAGAACCAAACAGGCCCTCTGACACAAGTTGCACAGACATCAAGCAATGAATAGATATATAGATATATACATATCACAAAAGCCTCTACTTGCCATGCGCTACATGCACAAAAGCCCACACATGACAGCACATGTCCAAGCTTCATGATCTCCTGCTGCATGTGCCCTTTGGGGCGCACTGCAAATAGCTTCCAGGACTTGCTGTTACAGTAGGTGTGCAAGGCGCTGATTCCTTCCTTTGCAGAAGGGATCTCAAAACAGTCAGTTGCATGAGCTACATAGCCAACAATCTGAAATAATGCCTGCAAGGTTCAGTGAAGGACTGACATGCTTCAACACATTGCTCAGCAACATGCCTTTCAAGCCATGTCTTGTGGCTCGGGATCAAATGAAAGTACTTGTCAATCTTCGCCAGGGTGAAGGAAAGTAGCGCCCATATATCTTTATCAACACCCTCAGCAGAAACCAGACAATCAACGGGTCCGTGAGCACAAGCTAACGTCATGACCGTCAAGGCAACATACTCTGAGCATCAACAGGCCATGCAACATTCTCTTCTGGTTGCACTGTTCGTACAACATGGAGGAGCCACTTTGAAACCACAGTGGTGTCATGGCCTTTCCATGAGCATTTGGGATAGTCTGACAGCCTGAATGTCGACCCACAGGCACAACAAGCACAAGCACACACACATACACTCACACTGAGAAAGTGCATCACAGTGAGTCAAGAAGCGACGTCATTTTGAAAGTGGCAAGCTCAAACTTTGTCAAAGAGGTGTTGCACTGCATGGTACGGCGCCAAACATCAAAGGATTCAAAGGCGCGGGACAAACGGGCTTCGATGTTGTTGCCTCCAAACAAGTGCCAGCGGCAGGCTAACAGAACCTCTGCAGTGCAGTGAAGCTGTATGTTAGGGACATGCTGCTTGCAAGCCATTTGGCCACCGTCAAAAAATTCTTTGCAAACACACTGTGAAAACTCATGCTACCATGGCACTATTGCTCCTGCACAAAACTCTCTTCCTATGCCATGATGCCATGTATGCATCTGGTCTGGTGGGCTGAAGCATGGGCCACAACCAGGAAGTTGATGCAGTAGAGGCTGTTCTCCCTCACGAACAGGATCTGCGCCTGGACGCTGGCTTCGCCACAAAGCTGATGTTTTCATATTGAACCAGTCCTGGGAGCACAGATCCAGCAGTTAAACGCACAAAGTCAAGTTGTTGGCAGCACTTGCCAAGTCACAGATGCATCACAGTAGTGACACTTTCGGCTTGATGTAAAGCCAGGCACAAGTTTGTGCGCCTTTCCTGAGTTCAAGTTTCTACACGCACATAGACACAAACAAGACTGAGTTATTACCACGCCAAGCTACTCAAATATACCCAATCTCCCTTGGTCCCCATAGGGACCAAGAACAATTTCTCACGCGCCCCATGGGGCAGGGCAACCTGATCATTAGACATGCAATGGACACATGAACACTACAATAAACACACACACACACATACCGCGCAAACTGCAACCAAGGCACCGACATCCCTTCCTGGTAAAGTGTCAAGAGATCTGCACACACAGCATCATGCATCATGTCCAGCGAGACATCCCCAGCGTACTTCTCCCCTGGTAAAATACCAACAAGCATACGAGATCTGAAGCTGTGCCCTTGCGCTTTCAGCAAGGGTTGCCACGATATACACATGACCGCCCGGCGTAGCTTGCCCCGTCCCTCATCTCCGTGAAGGAGAATTGGGATACAATTGGACAAACATGCTCTGTGATCTTGAAATACAGGATGAGACGGATGCGTCCGTTCACATCTTCGCCAAAATTCACAGAAGGCACCTTTCCACAACGCAGCTTCTTCAAGGGCGTGTCCGCCCAAAAGAACATGACCAGTGCTTTTGTCGAGCATGAATCTCAAGAAGCTTGAGGGCAGCAACACTGGCCACGGCATGATGACTATGTCCCCTTTCAAGCGAACTGGTAGTTGAAGGTTTGTGATGGCCACTGGCAGGGTCATGTGGTATCGATGGATCAACCGGTGCAAGTTGCGACTCCAGTGGGCCGGATTCTTCCAGCTGGCTATTTTGCGTAGCAATTCAAAAGTACCTTTGAAGATGTATGAACGAAGACCAAAACCCTATATTTCATGCACACAGAGGTAAGCCCTGGACTGCCACCATCCTGGGCCATGTCAAACAGCCGAGTGAGGGAAACAATTTGTCGAGCAGAGTCCGCCTCAACAAGCCGCCAAGCCAAGATCATGAGTTTGTGTTGCACTTGCGATCATGTCATGCTGAGTCAAGCACACCAGTAGCAAAGCCTTCCAGCATGCCCTCCAAAACCCTTTCTTCTACCATGTCCACACTGCACCGGTGCGATCCCAAAGGCCCGCTCTTTGCACCTTGGAATTGCAAGACAATTTCGCACAATGCAATAGAAGGCTGTTCGTTGGTACCCTATCTCTGTTTGCCATACACCCATGAAGCCGTGCCACACCCTCTGGAACTTGCCCTTTTGCGCTTTGAGCCTCATGAAATTTCATAGAAAGGCCAACCCTGTCACAACTGGCTTGACCAGTGGACCCGTGCAAAGCAAGACAAGCCTTCTCTTCTCGACCTGAGCTACATCAGCTACACACTGACGTATCACAAACAGGGCGTACATGTATCCGAGAACGTGACACAGCAGAAGCTTCTCTGTCGTCTTGCTCACCTTGCAGCATGCCTGCCCAAGGTGTCCATGCGCGCACAGTCTTTAGAACTCACACACAGGCAGAAGCACGATTGTATACACGATCAAGACAGCCGGCACGCACTGACACTTCAAGTACTTACACTCAGGCTATTTTCCAGACGCAGCAAGTTTATCAAAAATCTGGATGCACTTTTGGCAGCCTGCTTTGTGCGCCTTTTCCAGACACTCAGACATAAACACACACACACAAACATACGCCCAGAGGCCATTAGGACAACCGCATATTATCAG